TACGCGCCCCCCTAAAGCACTTCTAAATCCCGTTTTGCAAAGACTTTAGAGCCCCTACGATCGTGGGAGCAGCGGGCCGTAGGCCCGCAGATCGTCAGTGCCCAAAAGTAACGAATTCTGACCTATGTCTTGAACCTGGGCCTGTCGCTATCACAGAGTGGAAGCTGACAACACCCTCCCCAGAGAGAGGTTTAGAATTGCCAGCACCGCCACCGGTGCCACCGAGGCGCAGATTGCCGACCCCTCCTCGCAATCCTCGCGCATGGTCAATGGTTTCCAGCCAAGACGGCCGAGCCAGCAAGGAGAAGAAGAAGGCCAGGACCGGGAATCCGGAGTCCAGGCTGAATCCAGGCCAGACGGTGGACGAGCTGGGCCAGATCGTGGATCCGGACGGGAGCATCCACTTGGAGTGAGCGCTTCAGCTCAGGAATCAGCCTCTTCCAGCACCGAGGACGCCTGCCTCAGAAGCTTTTCTTCCTTGGGAGCTGCGCTTGCACTGCAGGAAAAGATCGCTTTTGAGCATGTTTGTGTTGGCGAGATTGATGAGCATGTTGTGCATGGTGAGCTTGGTGAGCATGGTGTGCATGTTGAGCTTGGTGAGCATGGTGTTGTTGATCAGGACCCCGCGCGCCGTGACCAAGATGAGGCCTGGATCCTTCGAGGTGATAAGGACCACCTTAGGGAGGAGTGCTGGGGACGCCTTGAAAGGGAACATGTTCTGAGAAGCCACATTCCTTATAATTCCTCGTGCCCCCATTGTGTCCGAGGTAGAGGTTTGGAGCCAGCCCGGAGCCAGGACAAGGAGCAGGACAGTGGTCTGCGTGAGGTTCAGATAGATAAGTTTTTCTACAAGGGCCTCGCTTTCTTGGTTTTGGTGTTGGTTGGTGCCTTTGCCTTGGGTGTGGTGCCTTACCGTGAGGTGACAGGGTCTAGGGGACCAGCCGCCAGAGAAGCCATGTTGAGTGACATGTCGGCTTGGAGTCGCAGTGTTGGCTTGGTTGGTGTTGGAACGGGTGAGTTGACGGTGAGTGTGAAGTCGGACATTGAAGGTGTTGTGAGGAACCTTGCACAAAGTTTTGCCGATGGGTTGACCGCGGGTGCCATTGAGGTTGTTGATGCGCCTGTTGGTAGGCATGCTGTTGTTGCAGAGCGTGCTGTGAGAACCATCAAGGAGAGTGCAAACACCCTTTGTGCCGGGTTGGAGCAAGTAGGTTTGGAACCGTGCGGGAAAGGGGTGACGTATCTGTTGATGCATTGCGCCCAGGTCTATAAACGCTACCAGGTGCATCCTGGATCGGCGCTGTCGCCGGAGCAAAGGTGCCTGAAGACCACCCGAGGACCGCATGCCGCATACGTGTGGGGAGCCGCTGTGCTTGCTGCTCCTCCTCCTTCTTTGCGTGATAAAATCACCGGCCGCTACGGGCACGCATCTTATCTCGGACCTGAGGTCGGTAGTGGAAGCCACCTTGTCCAATTTAGGTTGCGAGACGAGCGCGCTCGATGCAGATCCAGTCAAGTCCCGTGCGCCCCTCAGGTTTGGTGCAGATCCAGTCAAGTCCCGTGCAGATCCGATGTCGTGTCCAGTTGTCACATCTGCCCCAGAGCATGTGAACCACATCCGTGCAGTGGTCGAGCCCCATTTTGAAGACATCATCCTCGACTCAGGTGCGGACATCAGTGCTCTTCCTGATTCTTATGCGTCCGTTGGAGAAGCCACAGAGTCTCCTGCCCAGAAGTTCGTCGATGCATCTGGTAGGCTGCTGAAGTCCAAAGGCGTTCGCATCGCCGAAGTGCAGATTGGTGCCTTAAGGTTCAAGGAGAGATTCTTGGTCGGAGGGGTCACTTGCCCATTTCTTTCGCTTGGGAAGCTTTACAAAGCTGGGTTCTATGTGGTTCCCTCTGCAAGCAGCCCTGGCGGCTTCATCTTGACCGACGGCAGTTTGCAAGAGCCAGTCAAGTTGGAAAGACAGTCCTTGTGTGCACCGGGGAATGTGTGTGTGTGCTTCATGAGCAGCCGGCGGCCGTGCGTGTCATTGAACGTGTGACGCTTCAGGATCCCTTGCTTCGGCTGGATGCCTCAGGTTGGCAGCGCACAGGTCACAGGCAGTGTGCGCTGCTGAGCTTCGGCGATGCCTTCGTCGACACCACGTTGATTCCTTTGTCCGAGCTCATGTGGTTCCGAACCACTTTGGTTTGCCGAGGCGGGGGCGGCGGGGAATGGTCCCTGCTGGAGTTTGCTGAGGATGTTTCGTCTATGTCAGATCGCGCCAAGACGTTTGATCACCAAGACGTGGAACAAGTGATCACAATTGCGCATGATGATAGGACTTTGAGTCCTGCCCAGCTTGGCTCTGCAACTCCTGTTGATGAGCCTTCTCCTGCACCCGAAGCCTCCGGTGTTTCGCCCGCTCAGGCCTCTCCTGTGCCCGTGGATGAATCGTCTGGCGTGCCGCCTCCTGAGGCAGATGATGGCAGTGGCATTGGTGATGATCCGTTGCAGCCCTCCAACCAAGCAGCACCAGTCGCCCCTGAAGGTGGCGAGGCTCCTCCTGCCGAGCGTGAAGCCATTGAAACAGAAACAGTTAGCGGTGAGGCAACGAGCGCAACTCTTCATTGCGGGTCATGCGTGCTGCGCTTGTTTCCCTTGGGCTTGGCAAGAATGGCTCCAAAAGCCAGTGCTGGGACAGATTGGTTCGGCACATCCGTGAAGCCGAGCTGCTCCACCCTCCGTGCCGAGACAAGCCGTCCTCCTTCGGCGCCTCCCATTGCACAGGTGCCTTCCGATGCAGACCGGGCCCAGCATGCTTTGACGCATGAGCCATATGCTCCATGGTGCGACACATGTGTTCGTTTCCGGGGTCGCCAGGACCAGCATGCTACAGAGGCCTCGCATGGTGATGGATCCCGATCCGTCCTGTCTTTCGACTTTGGCTACTGCTCTCGCGAAGCCCCCGATGATGGTAAAGAAGCCCGTGACCGACTCACGGTGTTGTTTCTTCATGACAGGCGTACGAAAGCGGTTCATGCCATACCTACTTTGCAGAAAGCAGGGAGCTCCTTGACCCATCTTGTGACTGAAGCAGCAAGGTTTGCAGTTTGGACCGGGCATCGCTCTTTGGGCTTTAGGTGTGACAACGAGCCCGCCATTCTGGCCTTTCAGACCGGACTGTTGAAGGCTTTGCGAAATTTAGGCCTGGATGTGTCTCGTGACAATTCTCCGATTGAATCACATCAATCCAATGGTCCTGTCGAGCAAGTTGTGTGCAGTGTGCGCCAGCATGCTGCTGCCTTGATGCATGATTTGCAAAAGGCCTGTGGAGCCACTGATGGTCAGGTGCTCTTTTCGCCTCAGCACCCTATCTACGGGTGGTCGCTGTGCCACGCCTGCTGGCTTCGCAACCGCTACACGCCCATGCATGGCGTCACTCCGTATGAAGCTGTGACTGATTCGACTTACAGCGGCACCATTTGCAGGTTTGGTGAAAAGGTGCTAGGCTACCTGAAGCCTGATGGAAAGTCGTCTGCCCGCTGGCGACATGGTCTTTGGCTTGGCAAGGCTGTTGGCGCCGACACTCACGTCGTCGGCATGCCAGGTGGAGTGTTCGTGACACGCTCCGTTCGCCGCTTCAGTGATAATTTTGACACTGAGCTTGCAGCAAGCTTTGATGTTTGTGTTTGGGAGCATGGCCTCTCTTCCATCGGTGGCAAACTTGTGCTTGGCCGAAAGAAGCCTGCTGCCCCTTCCGCTTTGCCAGTGCCAGCTTATGTGGGCCCTCCAGACGGTGCAGACAAGCATGAAGCTGAAGCCGTTGCCCCGCACTCGCCTTCGGACATTGCCGGCACTGACTCGCCTCCAAGTTTGCCCGTCAGCCCTTCAGTTCCTTCCAGCTCTATAAGTGATGAGCAAGTTGATGATGAGGTTGCAAACGAGGCGGGGAATGCTGATGCCGTGCCCGAATCCTCTTCTCGAGGAGCGGAGAGCTCCCCAGCGCCAGTGATCACAGAGCGTCTGGATTTGAGTGAGAATCCTAGGCCCTAGGCCTGCCAAGGTTGCCCGAAGGTCCGATGCCGAGGCTGAAATCAGTGCTGATGCTGAGATGGCCCATGAAAGGCAAATTTCCTTGGTAGCTTGTGATGGCGGTGCAGTGGACGAATTTTCCACCGACGACGTGCTTCTCGTTTCGGGTGAAGAAACACCTTGTGTAGCTCATGTCATGCACGTGAGCTACGAGCATGAAGATGAAAGCCCCGTTCTGGCATTTGATGGCGAGACTTTGGAAGATCTTGAAGATTATGATGAGAGTTTCCTTGATGATCAAGTCGGTGACGCCGAGTTGCTTCCGGAGCTGTGTCTTCCTCGTACTTCAGACTTGGAGCCCGACCTCACACCCGAGCAGCTCCAAGCCCTCGATGTCATTGCCGCTGGGGTTGAGATTGTGCGCTTGCAAGGCATGTCCGTTTTGCTTCCTGAAGAGGCTGCTCACGGCAAGGAGTATCAAGGTCAGGTTGCCACAAAGCTTACGACTCGCATGGTGCGAACTTGGCGTGAAAAGCATGTTGGCTCGACTCCCGTGTGGTACCGTCGCAGCCGCTATGTGGCTCGCGAGTATGCCTGGCTCAGTGTTCGGCATGATCTCTTCAGTCCAGCAAGCACTGCCCTCTCCAACCGACTCTTGCCGATCCACTTTCTCTCTTGCGAGCAGGATCCTGATGATCCATGGGTCATGGCCTCAATGGACATAGGACATAGGTGATGCTTACTTGAGTGTTGTCCAAACTCGCCTCGTCATCGTTCAGCATGCCGGTGTTAACCATGTTCTAGGCAGAGTTCTGCCAGGACAAAAAGATGGATCCAAGGAATGGTATGTGGCATTCTCTTCGTTTCTTGATGAATCCTTGGGTTTCAAGAAATGCGCAGCGCTGCCGTCGCTGATCCGTGAGCCCAACAGCAAGTTCAGTATGCAAATGCATGTAGATGATCTTCTTGGTTGTGGCAGCAAGCGCTTTCTTCTTGATAAGCTTAAGCCGACCCTTGAATCAAAGTACCGAGTGAGTATCCACATTCTGGAATCCCCGGGTGACTGCATTTCATTCTTGAAGAGGCATCATACTCTTTTGCCCGACGGGAGGATGCTCCTGACCCCTTCCGCAAAGCATTTTGAGAAACTCTTCAAAGTGATGAAAATCGATGAACGCAGCGCCTCCAAGAGGACGCCGTATGCAGCGGTGCTTGATGAAGCAGACAACAGTGATTTTCTGACGACTGATGATGCCAAAGCCTTCCGGTGTGCCATTGGCATTCTACTCTTCGGCCCTTGAGCAGTTACATGTCTGCCCCGACTCGCAAAGCGCAGACTGCCCTCAGACACCTTCTGAAATACTTGTTGGAAGGCCAGCGCCACGGCCTGATCCTTGATCGCAAGGACCGCCGCTGCGGAGTGTCAGGTCAGGTTGTTCCTTCAGGGTCCCCGGGCATGTGCATCGAGTCATATTCTGATGCAGATTGGGCCACTCACAAAGGCAACAGGAGGTCTGTCAGCTCGAGCATGGTGTTCGTTTCAGGCTGTCTCCTCTACTCCAGTGCCAGGACGCAGCGCGTGATCGCACTGAGTAGTGGCGAAGCCGAGCTGCTAAGTGCCACCTCTTCCTTATGTGATGCCCTGTTTGTAAGACAACTGGTGGCATTTTTGGATGATTCCGATCCTCCTCCGATTTATCATTTTACGGATGCTTCAGCCGCGAAATTCATGATGGAACGCAGTTGAGTTGGACGCGTGCGTCACCTTTCTGTGCGAGTCCTGTGGACCCAGCAGCTTGTCTCTGAGAAGATTGTAATTCTTGGAAAGGTTGCCACGAGTGTTAACGTCGCGGACCTTAACACAAAGTGCCTCACGAGACATCGTATGATATTCCTGCTTAATCTTCTTGGCGGCTGGGACACCCTCCTTGAGCGCCCTGTCGGGGAGGATGAGATTGCAGAACTGCGTCACAAGCAGGCAATGAAAGATGCCGTGCGTGTGGTGAGATCCTCTTCCTCTGCCACAGCAAACAAGCAGATGATCCGGAGTATCGTCATCGCCGTTGTTAGCGCCTTGGGTCGTGCTGCGGACGATGGTTTTCCGAAGGACTGGAAGTGCCTGATTGGGCCAATCGGATGTTGGTGTGGATGCTTGGCTTTTGGGTGCGTGACGACAACGGTGTGTCAGTTGCAGACTCGGTGGTAAACTCCGTTGTCCCCGTGTGCATCTGCATTCTTTTGCTTTTGATTTGCGCTTACGTGTGGTGCTGCGGCAGCTCGCAGGTCAGGCAGGTACAAGTGCAGATCAACGACAGTGCGCGACACGGATCTGTGTCAGTCCGTTTCAACCAAGATTTGAATGTGCATGTTGGTTTGGCTGCTCCTGGAACCCCTGCCAATCCGCTTTCTTGTGAGACTGATGATGATGAAAGGCCTACGGGCCCTCCACATGTGATTGCCGCCATGTGCAAGGGTGCAAGGTCAAAGGCATCCGCACGCCCAGGTCCCCGAGTGTCTGAATCACTGCGTCACAATGCTTGTGCATCAGGTGCCGCATCGTCCAGCCATGAGCCCGCGGTTATGCCAGCACCTGCGACTCCTGAGTCGATGAGTTCGCATCTCTCGACGGCCTCCGATTGCAGTTGCTAGGCGGATGAACGTTCCCGCCGACCGTGTCTGGTATTCCCACACCGGGCGTTGCTACCACCGCGTGACTTGCTTCAAGCTTGACAGCTGCGCCAGAGTGCGGTACACGATGCGGTTGGAGGCAGAGAACAAAGGCT